AACTATGGTGTATTAATACTACCACCATCAGATAATGGATCGTATACTTATAAAAATGGAGATAATCAATTTCGAAAAATAACTGAAAATTGTTCAGTTAAAAGTAAATTATGTAATATGACAACACAACTCAATATAGGTTTACAATTGACTGTAATTAATAACACACATTCTATTAGTATGATACTTGATGTGGAAGAGTAAGAATGGATAAAAATTTGATACAACAAAAGACTTTCTATATCAATGAATGTTTGAAGTTTTAATAGTATTTCATAGATATTTAGAGATTTTAAAATATAATGCATTTAATATTTTTGTATTAAATAATTTAACTATTACTCATTGCAATAATAGATAACTACTGATGATGGATAGTTTATAGATCATAGAAACAAGCTTTCGTAAATAGCAACGGTCATTGTACCAGAATGATTTCATTTTCTACAATATGACGGTCATAGTTTAATAAACTAATGAATCTTCTAATAGAAACACTATAGGCATATATAAATATTATATAGGGTATAGCCAATCGTTATATTACTAATTGAATCCACATTTAAAAAAGATATCAAATATTTTGCATTCTACATCAAAACGTTGTTTTTTTAGATGTTTAAGTCATTCACTTAAACAAACAACGGAAAAGTGGGTGTCTTGTTCATGAAACTGCACATTTGCAAACACTCATAATATTTTTAATAGACTCCTTCTTACATAATATTATTCGTTATGTTTTTGACACTTCGACAGTGGATACAATCTCATTCAGATTTTATTGATCAAGAATAAAAACCAAAAGAAAAGGATCAATGCATATATTTTAAGATGGTGCGCAGTTGCGGAAGTGCTAAGTTGATGAGAATGTACAACTTGCATTTTCTCTTTGCAAACTCGAAAATTTTGATAAACTTATCGCAAAGCCTTCTTTCTTATGAGAAAAAGACTATTTTGATGAAATATTTAATTTTATAAGCACTTCAGCATCCGCAGACGCTCAAAAATCTAAATCTGCACTTTTCTTTTAAACAAAATGCATCCAAATACCTATGTGATAAGTATCTTTTTCATTTATATTTCGATTACGTTGTAGTTGTCAGCTTACTGGTGATTTTAAAGGCGGCGACAGCATGAAACTGTATCTGTTAGTTAGACATTTTTGCCTACTTGTTAATAAAATCACACCACAAGACAAAAAACTATTTTTTATTGAGTCCAAAATTGCAATTGTTACACGTAAAATATCATTTGTTCTGTTATTTCTGTAGCTTTTTAGTCATTCACGATGTTTTGCGTTTCTTTCGAAATTCTTATTTTTTTTGTAAGGTATGAATAGCTGTTGGCTGAGTATGAATTCATTCAAAGACATCATTGTGTGATAGAAAAAATGCTTTTATAATTTTTTAACCAGCAAAGTTACTTATTTCATTTTTCTTCTCTAATCGCGTAGTTTATTTAGGAAAGGAAGAAGAGTTTTATTTACGTCGAACATTCATTCTTTTTTGTAGTTTCATTTTTGTATACATGGCAATGCTTAATAATAAGAACACCGAACAACTGCAAGAACTCGTTACTTGCGCTATATGTTTAGAATATTACAAAGATCCACGTATTCTTCCTTGTTCTCATACATTTTGTTTGAAATGTATACAACAGTTGGCTGTAACTGATAAACCAGTATGTCCATTCCGAGATAACACAACAATTAATCAGAATGATATCAATCAATTACCAATTAATCGGACAGCCCAAGACATGGTAGAATTCATGATGAACTTTAATCCATCTCTTAACACAAATTGCAACTCTTTATGTGATAACTGCAATGAAAAGCCAGGTATGAATTGGTGCGAAAAATGTGCATTTCATTACTGTGAATCTTGTACAAAATCAGTACATTCAGTCAAAGCTTTACAATCTCACACGATTGTCCCAGCATCCGAAAAAACGCACTCATTTTGTTTGGAACATTCTGACGAAAAATTTAAATATTGGTGTACACAGTGTCATCTTCTTGTATGTCGTGATTGTTTATTATTTAAACATAAATATCATACATTTTTATCACTGAAAGATGCAGCAATGGATGCAAAAGGAAATCTCGAGAAAAAAACTCAAGAAATAAATGAAATTAAACGAAATTTAACACAATTTTCAACTACAACAAAAAATGCTATTAGACAACAACAACAAAAAACGATTGAGGAAAGAAATAATATCGAGCACATATTCAAAACTTTACAACGAATGTTAGAAGAAAGAAAATGTATACTTATTAAAGAATTAGAAGATGACGAAATACACTCAATAAAAATATTGAATCGACAACAGATTAATATAGATCAACATTTAAATTTAACCACTGTTCAAGAACTTTGTGTTAGACAAATATTGAATTCAGATGATCCAATACAAATACTCAAATTCAAATCTACATTATCTCATAATTATAGTGATTTCATAGAAAAATATCGAAAAATAGATGAAGGTTGTATTATAATGAGAGATATATTTAAAAGAAATGATAAAGATCTAGAAGATCTTCAAGATATGATTTCCAAACTTGGTAGTATTACAAGT